GCAGTTACTGAAGTGCAAGGTAGATTCTATTTTTTTTTTTTATTTAAGGGGGAGGAGGAAAAACATATGGCAGGAAAACACTGCACCACTGGGATTTCTAGTTTGAAAAGGGAGAGAAGAGGAAAAGACAAAATACAGCCAACTTTGTTAAATGCAGCCTTTATCCACATGCTTTCTAAACAACCTGACTGTGTTGGTGTGGTGGCTGCACCGAAGAGAGTGGTACCGGGTAGCGGCTTACACAGTGTCACCCTGTTCCCTGCCACCACCTCTCCTTAGCAACCTGTTCTCACTGATACTTCACACCAGTGGTTGAAACAGCTGTGGTTGTGTTGTACAAGCTGTAGGTTGTGTTATCCTACAGTGGTTCAGACAGAGGGAAATATATCACTGGGAACTGGATGACTCAACTCTGAAATCTTCTTGTTCTAATGTTTTCATTTCTTCTGCTGAACGTAGCCAAAAACTTTGGGGATGGGAAAGGAAAAATGTAAAGGATGGAGGTGTATTTGCTCTTGATGTAGGGGAAGTGTTAAAGTATATGGTTGGAGTGTATGGTTACAGACACAAGAATAAATAAATGTATACAACACTAGATAAATAAATAGAGTATTGACTGGACTGACAGCTATATGGCAAATATCTCCTTTAGTTCCTATGTGCTGTATGTGAAATTGGACGCTATGTGTTCGAAAAATTCACATCTGGCCAGCTCACTTTATGCAACTCCTGTTAGGAAAGCCACCTCATCTGTCATGGAAATGCCCAACACAGAGAAGAATGTCAGATAGTTACCCGTGAGTCCTGCTAATTCACCGAGGTAAAATAGGAGTCCTGCATCATTTGCAAGTGAAAAAGCTGGAAGGGGTGGTAGGAAATTTGCAGAGGTAGACCAGCTACAGGGAAATAAAAATAAATAAAAATTGTGGCACTTCAGATTCATGTGATGTTTTCCAGCAACTGGCCCTTGCAAGGGACAACGTCAAAACCTTACAAGCCTCCCAGTGGCAAGCTCGGCTTTTGAGGGTGTGGAGGATGAGTGTGCCGTCCTCAGAGAAGAAGGAAGGCTCTGAGGCACGAATCCCTTTGAGATGCCTTCAGAGCTCAGGTTGAATCTCATCATCCTCTGGCTCCGCAACCCCAGTTGTTGGTTCCCATCCCCACTGTCAGGAAATGCCCAGCCCTTGGATGAATGCTCTCTAACCTCATTCAGCTAATGTTGCACTTAACCCAACTCGTGTGTAATTGCTCTCCAGCATGCTTTGAGTCAAGTGGCTGTGCTGGCTGGCTGGGTAGGATGGACACTCCAGTGGAGGTGGTCCCAAGCTGCTGGAGCAGCACCCTGCCCAGCCAGCATCCCTGTGTCCAGGTAGGGTGAGGAACCCTACCCTGAAGTTCTACCATGAGATCTTCGCGTCCCTCCCCCCAGAAGCCAAGTCCTTTTGTTTTCTCCTCTGTTCTTCCCTGAGCCGCAGGAGCTGGCTGCTGTGTTTTGAGGGATCTCAGCTATCCCAGCGGGTGTCTCGCAGGGGCAGCCTCCTTCCCTGGCCTCCCCGTGTACAGGTGGCAAAGCTGGCTCAGCTCTGCATCGCATCTTACTTGAGCAGGGCATCGTTTCTTCTCCACTTCTGTACAGCTAACGAGCATGCAGCAGTTAAAAAGACTACTGTACCTTTGGGTTTTTTTTTTAAATGAAGCTCAAAAATTTAATATTTTTTTCTAATGCTACCTCTAGCTCTTTGTTGTTTAAAACTTATCTTTCCAAGCTGTGTTTTTGTGTCCTGACTGTGAGGTTACGAACTTTTCTTTTAAAGAAACATGAAAATTACATTCCCATGACTCTGGGGCTCGGGCTTTAAGAATATTCCTGATACTGCCAGAGATGTTAAGATTTTACTTTGAGATAAGTTGTTATACCTGCTTCTTAAGGGGGCACCTCTAATATAGAGAAGCGATTCAAACACAGATTTGTTACTTCTCTTTGAGAACATTTCAGCATATATTATATAGCAGATTCTATCTTTTGCACATGCTGTGTGCTGACATTCAGCATATATGGTGATACTGTTATGCTGCATCTGCCTATTCCCAAAATAACTTCATTTAAGCACACTTTAAAGTGGTGGCCCACATGCTGAAAACACTTCACATTAGCAGGGTTCTCCTTAGATGAATTTTAGCAATTTTCATGTTGTTGGCTCTGGCCCGCTAAGCAGCTTTCACCACACGAGAAGGAATGGGGAGTGGATAGGTTCATGTGTGAAACAGTCTCAGAGCAAATGGAAGCAATCTTCTGGCAGAGTTACAACAAGGGATGAATTTGGATCAGGTTCATTTGGGCATCAAGTGTCAGCTTGCTTCCAGTAAATGAGGTATGGTATGGAGGTGGTTCAGGAATAAGATGTCTCCTGGAAACAAAAGAATCCGTGCCTTCCACTTTTACTGTAACACCACCATGCATCAGATAAGAGGCATCTTTAAACAGCCCAGGAAGAAAATCTGAGGCAAAGGCAGGTGATTTATTAGTGGAAGGCAAGGATGATGGCAGATGCAGGAGCAGGGGGCTGCAGGGATGCTGCGGTGGCTGGAACTCGCCTGCATTTTGCCTGCACACAGGTATAACCCGTACTGCTGCAGAAGCATGGAGGGGAATACCTCTATGTTCATTAAATGACAGAGGCCAGATTACTTCTGGGCTCAGTCTCTTCATTTCTTAAATGCAGACCCACTCCACGGGGCTGGGTAAGCAGGTTTTGGATCAGTACTGGTGAGGCCAAAAATGTGGGAGTTTCGTGTGAAATTTATCCTCCTTCCAAGACTGCACGTTCAGTCTAATTTAGGTAGGTATTTGAGCAAAGCCTGCAGTGCTCCATTTCTATATCTACTTTTTGCGTGGACCTCATCCTTAACAGAGACATGAAAACACGAGCACTTTATCTGCTCCTTTGAGCTGTACCCTTTTAGTGGACATGAAGCAAATAAGACCAGACATAAATGATTAATGCAGAATCTTGGAAGAAAATATTGCAGGGTGCCTTGCTGTTTGATTACAAGCCTTGGAATTAGTCAACATTTCCATAATTCTAAACCAATATACACCTGTTTTCCCACTGTGATGTGAAGGCACAACTTAATTTAACAGAAACCCCGCTGTGCTAAATCTCTCATTAAATACCAAGCTAGTTCTGTAATTTAAAGTTGCAGCACCACTATTTTAACTGAATTGCCTTTGTATTATAAAATTAATAAGAAGTTAATGATGCACTTTGCTGTATTCGCTCAGATTTTTTTTCACAGCAACAACAAAAAAGAAAGATAAAGAAGAAAAACATGTCACCAGCTGACATCTCAAGGCTTTTCTGGTTTTAATCATTTTCCTGAGGATAAAATTCATTTAAAAGATTTTTTTTAAATTTTTAAAAACTTTCAGCATAAGTAGGATCAAACGTCTTCTTTTTACTCATGATTAGTATAATCTCTCCGTTAGTCATAATATTCCTTGTCATATAATGGAGCTTTTATCTTTCCCCCAAAATATATTTAGATATCACTTGTTATGGTAGGATTGCTTCTAGGCAGAGAAGAAGATAGACAATGTTCAAGAAATACAGGCGTATTGATATATATGATACATATCAACGAAATAGGGACGGTTCTCTTCTGTTTACTTGGTGCTGGCATCACAAGTAGCTTTTACGTCTTGTAAATGAACAACGTGAATTTCCAGATGTGTCTTTTGAAATATAACATGCAAGCGCATAGCTCATCTCCTAGCTCATAGGGATGTGGTTTGTATTATTCAATTTACAGTCAGGTTTTTCTTGGAACGGTGGTTTGGATTTTGTTTTAAAAGGCAGAAGGGAGAAGAGAGAAAACCTCAATTTGGATGTAATAATGATCTTAGAAATGTGCTTCTTTGGGATGAGATGTAGAACCAAGGCCTTAACCAGTCTCATCTTCATTAAGAATCTCATGGCTTTCTTAGAGGTGTTTAACTTCTATTCCCTAAACAAAATAATCCAATAAATTCATTTTATCTAAATTTATTCTAAACCTTCAGTAAGATGTAATAATCTCAGTCCCCCTGTGTTCTAATGTGCTGCTTAGTGAAAACTGGTGCCTGTACGGAGGGCAAACCTCGAAGAGCTGTATGCAGGGCCTGCTTTGGCTGCCTTTTTCACATTTTTGCTTTGGTTTAGTTTTAACATGCATTAGTTTAAAAACTGCATGTGCTCTGCTATGCGAGCTAGTGAATTGGGTAGGATTTCCTGGCAAGAGCTAAGTGTGGATGGGTGACACAAGAGCACTACGTTTTGGTCAAATTCTTGGAGCCCAACAGCTGAGTAAATACACCTTTAGTCTCCCGCAAAAGCTATTTGAAGTCAGGAATTGATAGGAATCTGTAAAATCTACACCTAAAACTCTTTGGAGTTTTTGTTATGTATTTGAAGTTAGATTCATCTGACACGGCAATGATTATTTGTTGCCTATATGTATATTTTTGCATATATATTATATAGCTAAGTTTACCACAGAAATAATTAACAGCCCACACTGATTTAGGTCTCAGCACTCCTATGCTTTTAACAGGCTAATAGTTTATGTTGTTCTTATTTCAGGTGGGATATACATATTCCAAGCAGCAGCAAACCCTTTGTATTGAAGTTCTGGCATGAAATGAGGACATTAGCTATATGAATCAATTTAATTAAGGGTTTAACAATGGAGAAATACAATTTTTGAGAAAGCTCTTAAAATTTTAAAAGC